GTCAAGTTCTGAAGAGATAAGTGTTATGTAACAGGTTTAGAACACATGTTCTGTAAAACAAAGTAAAGTTTATTTGTGGTATTGATGAGAAGCATTACAGCCTTATGTGCTCTGATGTTATGTTGCCACAGCTTGTAAAATACAGGCAAAAACTACAATCATAGCATTTATAAACAGTTGTATCTATCCAAGATAAGAGATTTCTCGGACTGTCAATCCTTCACCATCTCCCTTCCCCCCGGATTTCCGAGTATTACTACTTGCTCGATCACTCAATCATTCACCGGCAACAAGGTTTTCTATTGAAAGACATGTACGCAGCCCACATGGATATAAATATTAGCTAAGGAAATACTATTATAGTTGTAACTATTTGATAAAATACCTAAAAAACACATAATAAAATACCAATTAGTCTCAAAAATCAAAATAAAACAAACAAAAAAAGAAAAAAACTGCTTCAGATTGATGCAATGAGAACTAAAAGTTTAACTAAGAGATACAACCAGATGCTGGAACATGAGGCATCAGAGCAGTAGTGATAGTTGCTATTTTTTAGAACAGATTTGGTAAAACAATGAAAATTTCAAATTGCTGCTCCCCCAAATTCTCCTAGTCTGCTGGTGATTCTACTGCTGCACAAGTCCGAAACCATTGCGCCAAAACACTAATTAGAGGGTTAACAAAAAAATTGCATAAACTCCTGTGAATGATGCATCTTGATCTGCACACATTTGACTCATCTACTCAAAGTGGAGGCTGGGGGAGGTGGGCAGATGTAAGTTAGTCACAAACGGTCAACTCTATGTCAGCACTAGACTTGCAAGTGATTTGGCATATTGTGCCATTACAAACCCATGAAATGCTGATTTTCATAAATTTGGTTAGAATGTCAATATTAAGACAAACAGATGTGTTTTATCACAGTGCAGACATATAATTTAGTTTACTGCTCAAAAGTGTGCAGTAGGCCTACCTCTTGTAGGTATGTCAGTAACATTTGATGTATAACTATCAATGCGAGGGACCTTAAAGAGATGAAAGAAGAGCGAAAGAAGAAATTAAACTTTATTTGGTATCATATTTGGAGGTGATTTACTGGAAGATGTCTTCACATGCATGGATGAGCCCAGTAATAACATCTTGTCATAATTTTATATACTTCATTCATCCCTATCCTAAAATAATATAGTGAAGGAAGTTACACTTTTTTGGGGGGGATTTGACTCTGAGACACTATCTTGAATCCAGTGTGTTGTAGAACATCACATGTGCTGTATATCCCATTGTGGCCCCAAAGTATATGTTGGGTTCGTCGGGATTCTACTCATCTCTAATTACATTTCAGCCTTTAACCCAAAATTAATTATATCCATACACTCATTTACAAAGCAGGAAGACAAAAAAAAAATCTCCAGCACTGTCAATTCTCTGGAGTAGATATTCAACAGAAACCTGTTTTATTATCATTATATCATATGCATGAATGTGTAATAGTGTCATTGACATTACTGCATGATTTATAGTCAGGTCAATGGTGTGACTGAGACATTGCATCCAAAAGAGCTGGGGTGCTGCTTGAGCAAATTTACATATTTTCTCATTTTAGCATCTTCATTCTTCTTAATGCTTTCTGTTTTGTAGCACACTCTCCTCCCTTTCACACACACACTTTCACACTCACAACCACACAACACACACCAGCACTACAACACACCTATTGTCCCCCATGGATGGACAAACATTAAATTTATTATTTTCAGGTGTACAAAGCCTTCGAATTCATACATTTCGCATACTGTTCACACCGATACGGGTGTGGAGGTACCATTGTACCACAACCATTAAATAAAGTAAGTTAAGTTACTAGTACTAGTAGTAGTTGTGCACAGTGCATACCCTTTTTTAGAAAATGTGTAGAAAATGATAGGCCTACGTACAATATATTTAGCCAATCAGCAACCAAAGCCGGACATTTGGAAAGATTTGACCTACATAACCACAGAACTTTCCCTGGACAATCCTGTGTATCTTACCCAGCTGGATAGATGAGTTTTCTGTGTCCAGGACAAAACAATGGACTTTCCACTAGTACACACAATTTCATGGCCAGTCCTCTGAACTTTCTTTGAATTGCTGAAGAAAACTAGACAGAAGCTCATGATATTTAGCGCCTCAACACAGGCACCCAAGGGCAATCCACAGAGGCCACTAATGCAGTAACAACACTGCCAGGAAACACTGCTTGTAGTTTTTGATGGGGTACCAGGCCTATCTCAACTTATAGGTCTGTGCTAGACAAAGAGCTTTTACCCACCAAAGTGTGTAATGTGTCCATAGTGATTTCAGTGGCTGCCTGTGGGTGTTATTTTTCACTAGGTGCACTAGGATTGTGCATTCATGCCAAAATGTCACGGTATGGGGGTCATGGTCCAGTGCACACAGCCGCATGCAGACTATGCAAATTGATGCATGTAATGCAGAAGCAAACCTCAGAAGCGGGAGTTCCCCCTAGAAACTTTTAGCCATATACCATTAGCAACATATGCTGAGGTTAGCACAACAACCTGATTGGTGTGCCAGTTAGTCACACTATGGCAAGCGCAAATGAAACCGTCTGTGTCCTTTAAATCAGTTGTTTGGGAACAATTCGGGCTACCGGTCAGCTGCACCAGCGGCGGAGAGAGAGTTGTTGACGGTAAGTCGGTATTGATCCACTGTTGTAGGGTATGTGAATGGAAACACATTGAACATGCTTACACACATTCAAGGGCATCACCCAGATGAAAAGAAACATATCCTTTGGCATTTGAGTTTTTTTACCACACTTTACGAAACACTACACCAATGCTTTCGGAAGTAGTGCCATGCACCTTTATGTACAGAAACGTATATATCAGTGGATACACATGCAATGTTGGCTTGAGACAAAAGATATACGCTATAAAATTACCACTCCATATACAAGGACATGATAATGGTTACATAAACACAAATTTCCCCATGAAAATACGCAAATACACAAGCTCATAAGCACACAGAGCTCTGTTCCCAGGAGGCCTTAGTGGGTGAAAGTTCCTGACACATAAGCACTTTTATGACTGAATGGACCTTCTGATCAGCAGAGTGGAAGAATTCCATTAAAAACAAACTCTGACCCAGCACACACACGAACACCCACACACACTTACAAATGCACACACACACACACACACACACACATTAAAATATTCACACAAGCATAAATTCATAACTGAAAATGCACACACAAATGCATTTACACATACACATGCACGCTTATAGGTACAGTGTTAATTGCTGAGGCCAGAACTAGCAGAGGGTGTGACTTCTGAAGAACGCTGATTGACCGATGAGACAGAATTACTGACTAAAGCAAAGAGGAGCAACGTAAAGAGAGGGAGAGAGGGAAAGATGGGATGGGACAGGAGAAGGACTTAAGGGAAGTTTGCAGTAAAGAGGTGGAGAAGGCCAAAGCTTCATCATCATCTCCCAGGGGTGTAGGCTGTATTGCCTTGATTATGCATTCACCTGTCTTTCTCGCAAAAACCACACACCCCTCAGAAAATACAGCCCTGTCAGCCTACTTCAGCACACTGCCTGACCTTAGAGTGAGTGTGTGTGTGTGTGTGTATGTGTGTGTGCATGAAAGGATTTTTGTCTAATTTTCAAGAAGTCATCAACAAAATGATGGGGGCAATTAATGAGTTTTGTTGTGCAATATGAAAATTAGATTTAAGATTGAGTTGATTAATCAGGATTAGACATTCAGCGGGTGTGATTGTGATGTTCATTAGCACTGATGAGCACGACTTTAGAAAGCACCATTACAGTTTATAGTAGTCAAAGCAATATAGCTAATAAGCAAAGCCCATTGATCTTCAATGTAAAGAAAGATATTGTTTTATATATACACACCTAAGCTACACTGAATGTACAGTACATTCCATACACAGTTTATAAGTATAAACAAGTTTTAGCCCAGACCAACAGTAGTGATGTCAGTTTGTCCATCTGTTGTTTTCAAGAGCTGCTATAAAACAGGGTGTGATTCTTGGTCTGATGTTGGTCCATGGCCAGCTTTCCTCTCAGATCTGCTGTCGATATTTATGACCATCAGAGAATGAATCTGAATATTTTGTGGACCCCTTGACCTTTTCTCTAGAACCATCATCAGGCCACATTTTCCACTTCCACACAAACATTTCAAAATCTAATGGGTGTGAAAAGGTCAGCCTTTTACTTAGAAATAAGAACAGATACTCAAACATATTCATGAACCTCAAAAACATAAGGTTTGACAGATTCACAACCAACCAATCTTTAAAAATTGACTTCGACCTCCATAGAATCACGATAGACGTGACATGTTTGCTTTTCACACAACAAACTCTACAAACCATGCTAAGAAGTTACTTGGGAAATATGCTTATTCAATTTCTTGTCAAGAGTTAGATGAGAAGATCGATAGCACTCTTATAATTGTCTTATTTATGAAGCTACCACCAGCAGCTAGTTAGCATAGCTTAGCATAAACACTGAAAACAGCTAGCCTGGCTTTTTTTTTACCTTCAGACAAAGCCAGGTTAGCTCTTTCCATGCTCCAAGCTAAGCTAACTTGCTGCAGGCTGTTCATGGGGGCAGGTATAAGAGTGGTATCATCAGCATATTTCCAAAAATGTCAAACTACTTTGTTAAGGTATGTTTTTACATATTAGGCTTAAAGCTTTATAAGAGCTGGATTTAAAGTACCTGTCTTTGCTGAGGTTATGTCATCATAAGACGGAAATGTCACATTTGTATGTGTATTGTTCTTCTGCATATTTAGTGTGCGTCTGTCCATCTATTCTGTATGTGTCCATGTGCTAAATTCCATAAAAGATCATTTTTGCATGCCTATTTGCATGTTGTGTCCCTGTGCTACTTTGCTTGTGCTTATGTACAACTCGACTAACTAACTGATTAGTTGTAACCACTAACAGACAGCAATCGCCTCACCACAGACTTATACCGCAAAGAGGAAAACATCACAATAACGCCGGTGGGTGGAGTCATCCAAAGCCCACGCTACCCCAACGCTTACCCCCGCAATCTGCTGTTGTCATGGAAACTGCTGTCACCACCAGCGAGCCGCATACACCTGGAGTTTGACGGACACTTCGGCCTGGAGGAGGCTGATAATGGAGTATGCAGGTAAAACAATAAGATTCAGAAGAACAGATAGAGAGGGAAGTACAATACCTAACCAGAGAAAAGAAGGATAGAGGTGCAGAGCACAAAGCAGAGGGAGCATTGATGAATTACAAGCGGCTGTAAAGAAGAAAAGTCAGATGAAAGTAACAGTGATTAAAGAACCAGACTGTGAGAGAAGAAATGACAGAGAGGACGATGTGCAGTCACAAAGAGTAGAGGAAAAGTTTTTTGAGTAAAAGCTGAAAGGACAAAGAAGAGCAACAGTAAAATATGTGAAAATGATTTGCTAATGTATGCACATTAGCACACCAACAATAAACTGTGACTGAAAGGATGTGAGAGAAAATAATTTAAAAAAAAGTGTAGGGGGTGAAATCACTATGAGAGAGATGGATAGTTGAAGTTTACTTTCTTGGCATGAAGTATTTAAGAAGTTTGTCCTTGAGGGTTGAGGGGAGAAAATAGACTTTTAATCCGCATTTGCAACTCAGCCGTCTTTGTAAGCATTTTGCTGAAAAGACAATGGGGAGCAGCAGGGGGGAAAAGAGGGGGAGGAGAGATTTGGAAAGGTAGGAAGAGGGAGAAAGGAGCTTTGTCCAGTTTTTCAAATCTGTTTGTTACATTGACCGTGTGTGTATTTGTGTGTGTTTGTGTGTGTTTAATTGATGAACTCATTAATTGACTGGGGCATTGATTGCTGGAATGTAATTTAAGTTGCCCAGAAACATTTCCTTTAAAATACTTGCTGTCAAGTATTTTGGCAGGGTGGCGACCTGAGAATACGTCAAAAACGTTATTTTAACCATAAAATAAAACTAAAAGCTAAAAGCTAAAAGCTAAAACAGTGTTTAAGAGGGTCAGAAGAATCAAAATATACAGAATGTCTTTGAAAGACAATTTGTTTATTCCAAATTGTTTGTTTTTTTTGTAGTGCACTCCATCTTTTTAGTTATGGTAATACTTTACTCACCAAAGTAGTTGCTGAGATCTGGAAACACAGCATTAGCCTGGGCTAAAATAAGGGTTGTGAATAAGGCATAAAATCTTCTAAACCACCTAAAGGAATAATTCAACATTTTCAAAAAATAGGCTTATTGGCTTATTTGCTGAGAGTTAGATCAAAAGATTGATATCACACTCATATCTGTCCAATATGAAGCTAGAGCCAGCAATCAGGTTGCATAGCTTAGCATAAAAAGTAGAAACTGCTAGCTCTGTCCAAAGGTAACCAAATCCTCCTTCCAGCACCTCTACAGCTCAACATTTAACATGTCCTATCTTGTTTGTTTAATCCAAAACCAATAGTGAAAGCTAGCTGTTTCCCTCCAGTCTTTATGTTAAGCTAAGCTAACCAGCTACTGGCTCCGGCTTCATATTGAGCGTACAGACATGAAAGTGGTATTGTTCCTCTCATTTCACTCTCAGCAGTGAAGTGAATAAGCATATTTTCTCAAATGTTAAACTCTTGCTTTAATTTAGGTCAAAGTAAGTAGGTCAAAGTTGTCAAAAAACAAACTGTGATGAACTGGGATTTGGGTCATGGTTTAACTGTTTGCTTTTGATTTTTTAGCTTTTCACCTATGTCACTTTTTCCCAGATACTTTTTCCCAGATATCACAGTAACTTAGTGAGTGCAATGTTGTTATTAACAAACAGGATGAAAACTACAAAAATAAGACCCAAGTTCATTCATTCATTCTCAGTGTGACCTTCTATTTTCTTGACATAATTTTTATCCTGATCTTTCCTTTTTCCTCCCACACATTCATCCTCCTCTCCATCTCACTCACTCCAGGTATGACTTTGTTGAAGTGGAAGACCAATCAGAGACCAGCACTATAATTTGGGGTCGCTGGTGTGGGCAGAAGGCACCACCTAGTCTCAACTCCAAAACCACCACTCTCAGAGTCACCTTCAAGTCTGATGATTACTTTGTTGCAAAGCCGGGATTCAAAATGTACTACTCGCTGCTGGTGAGACTTTCACACACACTGTAACACACACACAGCTGACGATGAATCTCGAGCTCTTATTTGGAACGCAGCTTAAAGGTTTTACTATTTAAAAAAAAAAAAAATAAATGTTAACATCGGGTTCAGCCCGAGAACCACTGCAGTGCTCCAGGTAAAATGCTTTTTT